GTAACTGCTCCTGTCCTTGCTTGCCCTAACTTCAAACTACCCTTCTCTGTTCATTGTGATGCATCAAATTATGGCATAGGAGCAATGCTTACTCAACATCAAGATGACAAAGAAGTCGTGATTGCTTACATGAGTAAAGCACTAAATAAAAATCAACAGAACTACTCAACTACTGAAAGAGAAACATTGGCTGTAATAACTGCGTTAGAACATTGGCGATGTTACCTAGACAATGGTAAAGAATTTACAATATATACTGACCATGCTGCACTTAAATGGTTTCAGAACTTATCGAATCCATCAGGAAGACTTGCTCGCTGGACTTTACGCTTATCATGCTTTAACTTTGTCCTGAAACATAAAAAAGGAAAGGATAACGTTGTTCCAGATTTATTATCAAGACATAAGAATCAAGAACGTCCTGATACACGAGAAACTTCACCTCAAGGCGTACATCCTATTACGATTGAAGAACCACCTAATCGTGAACTTGAGCACTACAACAAGATTTTTCTCGGATGCTCCAACAACCCAGACGCATATCCCAACTACACTATCAGGGATAACAAACTTTACCGCTGCATCCATTCTCCCGATCGTCTAAACGATGACTTTATTTGGAAAGAAGTTCCACTACCTCGAGATAGGCATACACTTATTGAAGTTAACCATGGTTCCCCTTCAGAACTCCATCTTGGTATCTTCAAGACATTCAAGAAAATATCTTTAAAATACTATTGGCCTGGTATGTTTAAGGACATTGCCAAATTAATCTCGTCTTGTGAAACCTGCTTAACCTACAAACACCCTAATCATTCTCCCTATGGTCTTATGGGTAAACCCAAACTTTGCTCCAGACCTTTTCAAACTATATCCTTAGATCTTATGGGTCCATTACCTATGACTCGAAGACGAAACCAATATATTCTAGTAATTAACTGCAATTTTACTAAATATACTATGATTTTTCCCCTTAAACGTGCTACTTCAGCTAATATTATTAATGTTTTGGAAAATTCAGTTTTTCTAGTTCATGGCATTCCTCAAACTATTATAATGGACAACGCGGTTCAATTTCAGTCGCGAGAATTCCACTCATTCTTAAATTCTTATAACGTTCCTTGTATTTTTCACACAGCTTTATATTGTCCTCAGGTTAATCCTACGGAGAAGTTTAATAGTACAATTATTACAGCTCTAGCATCTCTAGTAGGAGACGATCATAGATCCTGGGACAACCATCTTGCTAAGATTCAGTACGCAATGAACAGCGCTACAAATGTAGCTACTGGCTTTACTCCAAACTTTTTAGTCTTTGGTAGGGAAACAATACCTTGTGGTTCCTTCTATACTCCAACTCATAACCTCGAGGAATTGATATTTATGCCTCGGGATATTTACGCGTCTAATGCTGGTCTCCTCTCATCTATTTTTCACAAAGTTCAAACTAAACTTCACATAGCTCACGCTAAAAATAGCGCTCGCTATGATCTTCGCCGGTCTTTTAAAGAATTTAATGTGGGAGACACTGTTTGGCGTAAAAACCATGTTTTAAGCAATGCCGGCGCATACTTTAATGCTAAACTTGCCCCTAAGTTCATCAAGTGCAAAGTGATAGCTAAACTGTCACCACTAGTCTATGTGCTTGAAGACCCTAATGGAGTTAGAGGCAAGTGGCACATCAAAGATGTAAAATCATAATTTTTTTTTTATTAACTGTTAATTTGTATATATGTATAAATATCACCATCATTCTCACCTTATTATTTTGTTTGATGATCCAGTGTTCTTCAACACATCTTGCTTTAGGACCTCGAACTTTCGTTGGTTAATCTTCACTTTTTATTTTTATTTCAGACACATCTCGTTAGTGATGTTGCTGATCTCTGGCTTTGAGCCCTACCGCTCTGGCCGTTCTTAATCTTTACTTAAGTCATAGCGACTAAAGCTTGCTTAAGATTAATTTCTTTAACTTTATCTTCACTCAGGAGCGGATGACAACTCCTTAAATAAGCCTGGATGTCCTTTCGAATTTTTTTTTCCACGCAGGAGCGGATGACAACTCCTTAAATAAGCCTGAATGTCCTTTCGAAAACACACTTTTAGAGTGGTAGTCATTGAATGTGAACTCCACCCTTACCTGAATGCAGATGATGAATGTAAGAGATAGTATATCTGATATTGCCTGGTGATGTCTGTTACTGCAAAGCTGTGTTTTTATGGTTTATTTTGGAATGTACATCTCAAAATTTTTGCTGAGTCAAAAATTTTCCAGGGTCGGGGGGAAAATGTAGTGTTATGCTTACATACATACTTACATATCATTTTACACTATTTTATTTTTATTTTTCCATTCTGTTTTTGATTTTCTACATTCACCTCAAAACTGGATATTTTGCATCACCTTTATTTCCATAGGATCCTGTAATATTTTTAATTCATAAGAACACAATAACAAATCATTTTCACTTCGTATTTTCACGTTATCAGCACTTTTTAAATCGGTGTCAATGGAGTCTACCTTTTTCGATCTTTTATTTAGTTCTCCGTAACTCTACAATTTCGGGTTTCGTGCGCGCTCTTGCGCTACCTTTTTTCCTATATAAATAATATCTCATTTTTCACTTAAATCTTGCCGTTTCTGTATTACGAGCTTAAAACCAAAATTTGACATGTTTTGACATCGTTGTTTATCTGGTTGTCGTGGCAATTTTTATTCAAATATTGTTACCGGCCTGATGTTTTTACTTCAAAAATACTCTTTTCTTCTTGGCCATTTACAAAAATTTGCTTTTAATTTAAATAATTTCAAATAATTTCTCGTTCTTATCCCAGATCCGTCAAAAAGTATAAAAGCCAAAGAATCGGCCAATAGAGGTCCTCACTTCAGCTTTGATACGAGAAGCACCTCTGAAAGGCTTTATCCGCACTGCCTCGGGATCTTGCAAGCCTTCTCCTGAAATCGTCGCCTAGCCACGCCTACGCCTCCACCTATTAGTGCCCGCGCTATCTTCAGCCGCTGAGCGTGCTTGTCTCAAGCGCTGCGTGTTCCTACTCCAGACGCTGCGTGTCTACTCCGGACGCTGTGTGTGTCTACTCCGGACGTTGTGTTTGCCTACTTCAAGCGCCACGTGTACCTACTCCAGACGCTGCGTGTCTACTCCGGGTGCTGCGTGTATCTGCTCCGGGCGTTGCGTGTGCCTACTCCAAGCGCTGCGTGTACCTTCTCCAGACGCTGCATGTGCTTTCTCCAGATTCTGCGTGTACCTAGAGCAGGCGCTGTGCACCTATCATAGGCATAGCCTGTGCATACTTCGTTGCAGTATCTTTATTTTTGTTATTTTTTTTTAATAATATTGTAAATCACTATCATCATTACAGCCCATCATCACCTTCATACCTTTTTTTATAAAAGAAACTGTAAATCTTTTTCAAATTTTTAAATAATTTATTTTATTTTTGGTTGTTTTGTTGTAGTTAGGTTAGGTTATTTAGTTTTTAATTGTCGCTTTACGACATGTGTTAGGAGCAGCCATTTTCTTATTATCATCTTTTTTCTTTTTTTAGTCTCTGCCTACCCCTCTGGGTGACAGGCGTGAGTGTTTATGTATGTATGTATAATAAGTAAGAGTTAGTAATAAAAATTATCTTTCGTTAGATTTCATATGACTCCGAATTACATTTTTTATTTAAAAAAAAAAGGTTTTTTTTTGTAAGGTTGAAAATTTCAGGATACCGTTTCATTAGATGGAGGCTGTCATGGTAGAAATTAAAAATGGAACAGACAGAAAAAAGAGTGAAAAAAACCAAAGGCTTGTAATAATGTAGTACTGTAGGTATAGGTAGCTATTATCCAATTGTCAGTCTACGTCGCAAGTTATCAAGTAACAGTCAGTAAATTGGATTAAACCACGGTAATATTATCTATATAAAATTACCGTGATTGAACTCTCCGCAGTCATGCCCCTTATTGAATTACAATAATTGTACCTACCCATCCAAGTTCGTGTATGAGTTGATGGGCACTTTTTCAGTTTGCATTTAATGATTGCAATATTTATTTTGCATTCTATCAATGACACGCATATATTTACTTTCCATATGATATGCTAATAGGTATTATAAAGAAAATAATGATTTAATTTACAAAATATCGGAATATTAACATTTTACTTCAATTTAAAGATATCAAATGCAAATGCAAGAATGTTATTTTGCGCCTGTTTCGATATTTTTATTATACTTATATGTAGGTACCTATTTAATATGATAGAGTGTAGTATTTTCGTCAACCTCCTTTTTTACGTGGTAGAGCCATGCTGCAGTTGTATTAGTAGTATAGTTGTAGCAATAATGGGTCGGCTCGACCGGGGAAGGACCACGCTCTCACAGAATACGAGCGTCATATAGTAGTTTAAATGCTACTGTTTCGTATGGTGAGTGTAGAGAACCGGAGACCCTTTTTACTGGAAACGAGGTATTCCATCTAAGTCCTCACGGATGGCAACGCATCTGGATTTTGATTCGTAATCGAGGATAGATGTAGATGTCTATGGGCCACAGCAAGCACTTACCATCAGGTGCGCTGTGTGCTCGTTTGTCATCCTATCCTAAGATCCATGTCATCATACATCAATATCCAAAAAAAAAAACAAACCTCCTTCCTTTTCTGTAGTCAGTTGAGAAAGTTAAAGCTTAATTTATTTTTTTAATACGGATGGTATTTATCACACACGTACCTAATTTATATATTTGTAATAAAATTCTCTTTGTTGTTATTCGTCCGATATGTTCTACATAAGTGAGACAGTAGCGTCAAGTTAATGATATATTATGCTTTGTAATACTCCCATTATGCTATCACAAGTGACCGTCATGTAAACGATGCTGAAAATAGCTCTTCAAACGTATCAGAGGCGACAATATATCGATGGGCGAAGTAGGGCGGTGAGTGCAGACAGTATTTCTTCCGACGCGGCCTGAGAAACGCGTGCAACGCAATGTGCACCCGCCTTTTCCTTTGCGCGTTCGCGGCAATCGCGATAGCTGGCAACGGTCACGCTGCGAAAATCCTCGGTCTATTTCCTCATACCGGAAAAAGCCACCAGATGGTCTTCGAACCGCTGTTACGAAGTCTTGCGGAAAGAGGACACCATGTTACTTCAGTTTCATTTTTCCCGCTGAAAAATCCTCCTGCGAACTATACCGATGTGAGTCTCGAAGGTATTGCCGGCTTGGGAGTCGAAACGTTCGACTTGTCCATATACGAGGCCCCGAATTTGCTCCTTAAAATACCGATAGTGAACAGAATTTTTAATCAGCTGATGGCGTTTCACCCTTTAGCGGGAATGGCGTTGGATGTGTGCGGTAAGGCCCTCAATTGGCCTCCATTGATTGAAGCACTTAAGTCAGATTATGATGTTGTGCTCGTAGAGAATTTTAATAGTGACTGCATGCTTGGACTTCTTCATATTTATGGAATAAAATCGCCAGTTGTTGCTTTGTTAACGACCTATTTAATGCCGTGGTCAGGCAACAGAATCGGTGTATTCGAGAACCCGGCATATGTACCAGTTGTTAGTACTTCGTTCACATCCCGCATGACGTTTCTAGATAGATTGGAAAACACTTTTGTATACTTATATCACAACTTCTGGTTTCGTTACTTAATACAAGTAAAAGAGCGAGAACTGATTGAGAAACGTTTTGGTAGAAAGATCCCAGATCTGCAAGATTTGGGGAAAAACTATTCGCTCATGATTGTGAACACGTTCCACGCTTTGAATGGGGTGAGACCCACCGTGCCAGGTGTGGTTGAAGTTGGCGGTATGCATTTAGATCACACAAGGAAAATTATACCTGAGGTAAGCTATTTTGTTATATATTATATCTTACATAGATACCCCGTTACTTGAATATATTCAAATAAAATAAAGGCGGAAAAAATTAATGGTAAAATATACAGTATATTTATCAATTCTTCTGTGCTATATATATATATATATTTTTTTTTTTTTTTTTTTTATTGATATTAATTTAGTAGTAATTTTATTTTGTTCTTAATCGATGTTTTGGAAATAGTATTAATATTAATGGTTTCAAGTTTTTTTCTTCTATTTACAATCTATATATACATATATAGTATTATAGGCTAGATAGGTAACTAATATTTAAACGGTTCCTTTTTTCGATGACCGAATATTCTCAAGAAAATAATGTTTTATGTTTCCTTATCTAATAATTGGATTCTAATTATTAGTTATTAACATAATATAAATCAAAGCAAGGACTTTAATAAATTAGTTTCGCGATTTAAGAGATTTTTAAGATGATAAGAGTATAATAAAAAGATAATAAGAGATTTTTAAGATTTAAGTTAAACGATTATATTTTATTTTAATATTAATATTTTAAAATAAAAGATTTTAATATTCAAAACCAAGTGTTATTCCTAGAAAAGTGTGAAACACTTATGGGGAATGTGGTGATATGGTAATGTCAATAATTGTCTTCTTTTAGATACACTTATTACCTACCTACAGAGTGTAATTTTTTATTTTTATCTAATACCTACATGTATATATGGCGTGTAACTGTTTTCCTAAGCTGTTTTCTCATTGTTTAATTGGTCAGTATTAGGCGATAATTTCTATATTATGTTATCATAGATTTGAATTTTTGTACTGTCAAATTGTTTTTTTTAACTTCTTTACAAATAACGATTCTGTGTTTAAACCTGTTGTTAAACATTAGTATAAAATAATCATGACTAGTTATGAGTAATTTCTGTATCTTTTTTATTTCTATTTGGCACGCGAAGCGTGAGGAAAAGAAAGTTCAGAGGACTCAATATATATTAGGTATGCTGATTGATGGCAACTGCAACTAGTAAATATGAAAAATTAATAAGACACTATACAAAAAAGAATACTTACTAAAGGAAATATAAAAACTATATAAAAAATAAATAACCAAAATTTCCTTTTTTTTTCAACAAATAAACAAGAATAATTTCTTTTTTTAGCGTGCTACCTCGCTGGGTACACGTTGAGTATCCGCTAGTAAATACTAAAAACGAAACATTTTTGTCTGTACGTTATAAACGTTTCTGTTCTACATCCAATCCAATCAAGGTCCAGTTGTTGAAATCTCTTATAAATAACTTATTATTAATATTAAACAAAAAACTTTTGTTCCTTTGCGAACAAAATTATAAAACAAATAACTTTACAGAAGTTATCGTGACCCAAAAAAAAAACTGAAATTTTTTTTATAAAAGTAAAAGCCGACTTCTAACTGAAAAGAATTTCACATTCTGAAATGAGAGATATTAATTCTTTAACACACTACCTTACAAAGGAAAACAACTTGAGTGGACCACACATTACATACGGAATTACAATATGGGGTAAAATTTTAAATGTAATTATGTATGACTTTGAGATAGTAATATTATTGTACAAAGGCCCAGATAACATTTTGAGAAGTGATAAGTGCGAGTGGCAAGTGCAACTGACAAATGACAAGTGCTAGTTCGTACTTTATTCCCACTTTTATTCGTCACTTCCTGTTAACACGCACTAAGTACTTGTGATAAGTAGGAGTAAAAAACGAACTAAGCACTTGTCATTTGTCAGTTGCACTTGCCACTCGCACTTGTGACTTCTCAAAATGTAAGCCGGCCCTTAGTACAATAATATAACTATCTACAATTTATACATAATTACATTTAAAACTTTACCCCTATATTGTCACCATTAGGGGTAGAATTATGCCTTGAAATTTATATGGAACCACCCCTGAATATAATATAAGATAACACATTTATTAAAAAAAGAACCATCAAAATTGATTCACAATAATTAACGGAGATATTACATCGTAACATACATTCAAAAATACGGACAAAGTGCAAACCTCTTTTTCTAAATTCGGCTAAAGTAAATTCATCAAAAAAAGTATTGATTCATCTCGGTATTTTACAAGCAGAAAGTTATTTGCATCGTTTTCATTGAATCGATTAGGAAAGTGATTGAAATTGATTTGTGATGTGCACTGCTATAGTAATATTTACCTCGTTGATCTAGTGGTCGTAATCGTGATCGCAGATCATGAAATCCCGGGTTCAAAACCAGGTCGGGACAAATTCAGTAAGTTAGTTTTTCTGTCAGGAAATTCTCAGTAGCAACACGGAGCCAGTAAGTAGTAAAGTAAAAGTAAAGTTACAGCCTATATACGTCCCACTGCTGGACACAAGTCTCCCTCATTTCTGAGAGGGTTTTAGGGCAAGGAAGTGTCCGCCGCGCTGTCCCAATGCGCGTGGGCGAACTTCACGTGTCTTCGAAATATCACGATGTTTTCCTTCACCGCCGAGCACGTGGTATATCAGCACTTAAAATTGCAATAAACAATTTCATTGGTGTCGGCGGGGATCGAACCCACGTTACTTACGTTCTGTTGTATTTACAGCGAGCGTTAACCATCTGAGCTACCACGGCTCCTAGTCAGTAAGTAGGCGGTGTATCAAATGCAGGCGAAATGACACAAAAAATATTTCTACAATTAAAAGTTATGCAAAACCATAAACGTCTTAAATATTACAAATAATATTGTTATAACTATGATTTTCATACAAAAGAAACTAAAATATTAAGAAAATTTGAAAATTATGAAAGTAATATGCTAAAGAGTAAATAGTAAGGAGAATTAATATTTCTGTGTACAAGTTGTAAACAGAATATTACCTACTATCAGATTATTTTATTTTGTCCTAGTGTGAAATATTTAATTGTCTTCGTATTATTTAATTAAATACTATTATACAATAATCTATAATAATTATTGGTTAACTAACTGCAATATTAGTCGCTGGAAACTTATGTACATATTTTTTCATTAGTATCACAGTAACACATAATTTATTATTTTTAATACCATCTGTTGAATTCACTTCCACCCAAAGGCAATTGACCATAACCGTACCATTAGAAATCCGCAGTAATTCTATGCTTTTGTAACCAAGAGTTGCTAGATAGAAAATTACTGTTGGATTTAATGTACCTACATATTTTAAAAGGATAAACGTTTGAAAGATAGCAATGCGCGCATTTTTAAAAAAGTTATTATGTTTCTATGTTATACACCTTGCTAAATTTAACGTGAGCATCACTTAGAGATCTTAAGAAGATAAATTGAATCCGTTCACAATGTAGGACAATATTGGTTTAAAATACCCATTACCAGATAAAAATATTGGAAAAAAATATACCTTGAAAAATGTAACTGTGTAAATCACCGTTTAACTAGCCAATTAAATAATTCCTAAGTTTTAAGAGTCACAGATATGTTGATTCGATTATATTATTTTAAGAATTCACGATTGTGAGTCAATATTACCAGACTAAATAAATTAATAAAAAAATCATAATTTCATGCTGGCCGAAATAACGAATAAAATTTTTATGCTACCAACACACGAATACATACAATATGTTGGAGATAGAGGGTATAAGAAAAGGTGAAATAAATAGAAGTGAGGGTAGATGTGAGTGATTTAGAAACCCGCACTCGTTTGTGCAGTATAAAGTTCATCGCAACCATTGAACTAAATTGTACTAGATCTCGATTATCGCGACAGATCAAAACAAGGGCATTGGCAGTAATATTGTGACATAGTGAAAATACCAAGGGCCATATTGAAAAAAAATTTCATCGCAACTGGCGCCTGCAGGCAGAATTCCGTCAGTCATTCTAGGTTAATCAGTGTGGTAAAGAATGTTGTGTTTTTAATGAGAGGTTGTTTTGTGTTTTATTGAGATAAGCAGTGTTGCCACATGTGTAAATCTACTCCTGTGGTGTTGCTGTTGGTTATCATACTTAATGAGAGGTTGTCTTGTGTTTTATTGAGATAAGCAGTGTTGCACATGTGTAGATCTACTCCTGTGGTGTTGTTGTTGGTTTGCATACTTAATGAGAGGTTGTCTTGTGTTTTATTGAGATAAGCAGTGTTGCCACATGTGTAGATCTACTCCTGTGGTGTTGCTGTTGGTTTTGCATACTTAATCTATTTTGGCGTTATCATGTAATTACGGCTACACAAATGTTTGATTATGATCGGGACGTATTACGGTATGGTCGAACTAGTAATGCGATATATTAGCTTATTGCTGGCAATAATAAATTGGGTAAGCAAAAGAGCGAGTTGAACATCCGCTCTCAAAGAATACTACAATTAATACTAAGGTATTTGAGGGTAATGTGGTCACCTAAGCTTGGCCGCCCTATAAAATCAAAACTAGGAGGAGGACAGAGATAAAAGCACCATGTCGTATACTATAACTAACATATTACGAAAAAAAAACAAGCTTTGGCAATAGCACTACGAAAAATCATATTGAGAAAAAAATACTAAATACACTACACCACATACTAAAATCAACTATAATATTTATTATAATATCTTGTGTTACAAAGCCATCTATGCAAACAAGGCTGTAGTTTTTAAGTTATGAGGATGTGACCATATTAACCTCACGTACTAAGTAAATAATACACTACTAAAAATGCGAATAATCCTTGTAAATAACAAGAAAAAGTATTTATTATTATTTACAATAATTATTATAGCAGCTGGAAAGCTGGAAACCTTTTGGAACTCACTATTTGTATGTTTCTGTATTGTTGGAAAAATTAGAAGTATATTACTGGGAACGCTAACTTACAAAATTGTTACGTGCTAGAGCCATCAAGTGGACTCGATGCTCGTTTGTCATCTTTATTCAATAAAAAAAAAAACACTAAATTTCGTCTCGTGAGTAACATGGGAAAATCCTATTATTATAAGATGTTATGCCATACGATAGATAACACTAACGATTTAACCGTATCTTTACGACAAGCATAACATATCCAGATTGGCGACGGCAAACAGTATCAAAGTGCGAGATCTATGGTACTGCGACCGTTAAACCGTCTGCCAAGAGCCATGATTAAATCTTCCTCGCGATGGGTTCATGTATTTTTGGGCTAATGAAATAGACGAGGAAAAAACAAAAAGTAAATAAAAAATATACTTCTGTTCATAGCAGCTTCCCGTTGTTATTTTTTGCTTAAAAAAAGGGGGGGGGGGGGGAAATTAAATTTTCAACCGACTTCAAAACAAGGAGGAGGTTCTCAATTCGACTGTGTTTTTAATATGTTACCTTAGAACTTTTTTTTTATAGGTGAACCGATTTTGATGGTTCTTTTTTATTTGAAAGCTGGTGCTTCTCACTTGGTCCTATATAAATTTTGATCAAGATCTGACCGATAGTGTGTTGTAGTGTGAGTTATCCTTAATAATGCGTATTTGACTTCGTCTACATTGATGGTATTTTCATTTTATTTAAATTTAAATATCGGTTGTACAAAATTTTTAACTTTACCACTTGTAATTTGAGTATAAGGGTGACAAATTAGCACACAGTCCACATGATGGTAAGTAGATGCTGTGGCCCATAGATTCTACATCTATCCCCAATTAAGAATCAAAATGCAGATGCGTTGTCACCCCTAAAGATTAAAACAGAATGCCTCATTTCCATGAGAGTATCCGGTTTTCTTTATTCACCATATTAAACTCAGTATTACTGCTACTTTATAATGGTATTCTAATATACTACATCGCTGCAGCATGGCTTCATATTCTGTCCTCTCCTGAGGTACGTACTCCCATAACATATATGTAACGTAGGTATAATACGTGCTCTGATTCTACTAATACTGTCGTATATTATTTAATATCTATATTTTGTAAAAATAAGTAAATAAAGTAAAATTAACCACAATTTGTCTTAATTTCTCTCAATATTAAAGGATAGTATAATGTAATGTATATGCATTAAGTCCGCCCTATTTAGTATTTACCCTTTACCTTAAGGTGTTACATTTAAGTTTTAAAATAAAATAATTAAGTTTAAGTACAAATAATTGCAAAATTATACTTTATTTAAAATTATTACATCTGTATTTTAATGCCAATGCAAAAAACGTTTCAAAATTTATCAACGTTTGACGTTGTTGTTCATGGTTATCAAAATTTTACGAGTATTCGTTACAAATCATTGATAAATACCAAAAAGCGTAACAAAATAGGTATAGGAAATGTAGCGAACGCTTTAGAAATTTACTTTCAAACTTTCACTTTTAGTTTTTAATAAACAGGTATGGACAGACTTGCCTGCCTCGTTGGTCTAGTGGTTGAAGTAGCGCGGCTGCTGGTAAGTAGCTGGGCATGAGGACCCAGGTTCGAATCTCGGGTCAAAAAATCAAATATTGAGTTTTTCCGTCGAAAAATTTTCAATAACTGCCCGGAGTCAGGTAGTTGGCGGTGTCTCACCCCGTGCCTCGGAAAGCACGTAAAGTCGTTGGTCCTGTGCCTAATCTCTCTCCGGTCGTGTCGATTTACCATCCCATTGGCTTATGAGAGTGAGGGAATAAAGAGCGCACCTTTGCTTGTGCATACACTTGGGCACTGTAATCCTGTCCTGCGCCGATGGCTAGACTCCGTTGAGGCAGGCCGGTGTGACCGAAATTCGGTCTGGAAAACATTATTATTATTATGGACAAAACAGGGTGTTAGTGTAAACACCGTTGTCCTTGAAACCAGTGGTTTGGTTTCACTTATTGAACGTAAATTCAATTTAAAAAATTAAAAAAAACGCTATTTTCTTTCATAAAATAGCGTTTTTTTTTAATTTATTGTACATAATACATACATAATACACAAACACCCTGAATAAATACAGAAAAAGTTGTTTGTTATGACGAATAAACGTTCTATCTTTATGTCTACCAGCCGAATTTCTAATTATTTCTGGACAGTACTATAATACTGAAAATCTTGTCACGCTATCCAATGAAACAATGTGTTAAATTAGATCATCAGCAATTCTGGAAACAAAATTGGCAGAATTTAGAGGGCGGAATTTTGTAGAAAGAAAGTGAAATAAGTTTTTAAATGATGTCAGTAAAGATCTCAATAAATTTGAAAAATTACTTCTAAGGTGGCTACCCACATACCCGCCGCAGGGCAAATCTAGGGTGTAGAACGATCATGGCAATATCAGAATTGTCTGTACAGTATGAGAATGTACATCCCGCTGAACACACGCGTGGACAATGGCGCCAGTTTTATTGAAATATCAAAGGATCGATATAGCCTTTGCTCTTTTCGTATCTAGAATAAAGGTGACAAACGAGTACGCAGTCCACAATATAACATTTATCCATAATACAAATAATTACAACCATATTACCGCTGCAGCATGGCTCTACCACGTTTAAAAGCGTTACCACGTTTAAATAATCCATTGTGACTTGTTCACACATGTGCTTCGCAAGAAAGTCGATAATGAACTGATTGAAATCGACCCATTTGATTGAAATTGTATTACACAGCGGCAGCTATGGTCTAGGGTCTCAGCAATGTAGGTAGGTCTTGCTGCCGACCTGCCGTAGGGCCAACCAACAAAAAATAAGGAAGCGATTAAGGGTCATACTCACTCTTACACCATAGATATTGCCCCTGCGGCAGGCATGTGAGTAGTGCCCTTTACTTGAATGAATTATATTTTACTAATTTAATGGCGCTGCCGTGCTATTGTGTAACTGACCTGTTACGTGTCGTTGTGATAATATATTGTAACCTACTGTGTGTGCTGCTGTGTTTCGTATGGTGAGTGTAGAGAACCGGAGGCCCTTTTTACTGGAATCGAGGCATTCCATCTTAGTCCTCAGGGGTGACAACGCGTTTGCATTTCAATCTTTAGTTGAGGATAAATTTGGATGTCTATGGGCCACAGCATCCACTTAAAAATATTTATCGTGTAATGGCGATGTAAAATATCCACTACCTCATACTACATCACTCCGTCCAGTTGGGTGTCGGAAGAGGTGACGAAGGGGAAAAATCCGGTGAATATAAAAAGCTGCGGCTGCCAACCCGCTTGCCAACCGGGAGGAGCTCTATGTTCAGCAGTAGGCTTTAATAGGCTGTAGCTGTTACGGTAACTTAATATTATTGTATTATCATGTACTATATTATAAATATTTTTCATTTTTCATATTCATCAACAATATGACAGTAAAGTACGTAAGTAACAATCAATAATATGACAGTAAAGTAAAATTTACATCCTAAGTAGTAAAATAATACTTCCCCAGGAAGATCATTATGGCTGAGAACAATCAGAGCGGTGGCATCAAAGATCCAAGTTGCCTTAATGATCGCCGACCTTCGAAAGAAGATGACACTTTAAGAAGAAGAAAGTAAAATTTAATGGAGTTTTTTTTTTCAAAATATAGGTACCTACCTATTATCGCAATCGCAAATTACCCAACACAGGTGCGTCACGTTCGTTTCCCTGATATCCGATCTTTCCTCAGTATTATCGCGTGCGGTAACTTCGGAGAAACGATAGGATCTAGTTTCATAAACGTGATGGCAGTTATAATAAATTCCGTCTATAAATAAATAATCTTTAATTTATTTATTTATTACAACCTAGCAAAATCCAATGCTGAACACAGGCCTTCCCGTAAATTGTCTCTTTAATATTTATAGTATTGTTAGGTTGCATTGCAGGAATTTGCAATTTAGAAAAAGCCAAATTTACGGGGTTTTGGGTGCTAATTAGGTACAAATTTAAAAATAGGTGCTCTAAAATTTTCACCGCATCGAACTTGCTGGCATAACATATCGCTAGCAACGCAGTGACGATGAAAATATTATACGATAAATATTAATAGCAAGTAATGAATTGCTATTTAAGTGCTGCAAGATACGCAATGACAAGGCGCCTCTAATAAAAATAAAGTCGTTATTCAGAACAAAACAGATGCAAAACTCAGGTTTTCTGAAAATCAGACAAGAGTCATAATCACTTATAGAATTAATTTGGTAATTAAGTGCTCTCAAACACGATTTACTTTTTTACACATGAATATTGACACAGTTGCTTTAGCAAAGGTTTCGGCACTGTGGGAAGTACAACTCCTTCGCCATTGCGTATATACTATAAATAAGATAGGTCGAATCTGTACCAAAACCGAATCAGAACGTCCCGACTCCACGTAGTCTTTACAAAAACACTCTAGGGGTAGGGCAGACAAGACTACGCGGAGTCGGGACGTTCTGATTAGGTTTTAGTACAAATTCAACCTATCTTATCTATAGTATATATCTAGTAAAGAACAAAAAATGCCATTCATACCTTATAGTAAGGTAAAGTCCTGGATCCGATAATTATCAGAATATTACCTAGGTACCGTCATTTACATCCGACCTTATTATTATTTAAAAAAAAATAATAAGGTCGATGCGTTGCTAGCGATACGTATTGCCAGCAACGCAAATTTGAACAGTGTGTTGCGGTGATAACTTTAGGCCACCTAATTTTTAAACTTGGCACCTAATTGACACCTAAAAACCCATAATTTTGGCTTTTTGAAGTAAAACTTCTTTACGCACGCTTGACTTGGGGAGTAAGCTGGCGAACGCGTGACGAAAGCGTTACGAAAAGTGTGATCGGCAATATATGTATATTTCAGACGGCTAAGCAGTTTTACTGCATTCGTGTGGTTATAAGCACACTCGTTTTTTGTAAATGCAAATTCCTAACTTTGCGTTGCTGGCGAGACACAACTGAATGTATCCAAAGAAGCCACGTTTGGCAGGC